TATATTACAGGAGATATTCAGTTGTTTTAATCATAAAATGGATTTCTATTTGACAACTAGTGCCAGTACTTTTCCGCGTATCAAGATCACCTGGATACAATCTTCGCTCTGTTCGCTTTGTTTACCTCCTTAACAAATACCTTTACCTGTTTAACAAATAACAATGTTCAATGAAATTGGAAAAATCAGAATTATAGTCATACTACAGACAGAATTTTCATCGTTTTTAAACTGTTTTATAAAAGTTTCGTTAGAATGTACGAATTAAATCTCGGGGAAAACCCTGGGCCCTGGCCGAAAGAAATCAGAAATGTATACTCGCTGTGATGTCAAATGTCAATATTTCGTTAGTTTCGCTCAGTATAGTTTTCTAGCAACTGAATTGTCTCTAGGTTTAGAAACAATTATCAATGAAACTAGAATTCAAGTACGTCACGGTTCTGTATAAAAAAATCAACTTTTTCAGGCCGACCCTGGGTCACTTTGCTCAAGGCTATGCTTCAAGAATTTACATTATTTCTTATTGTATAAAAATATGCGAATATTTTGATATAATACAAAACAATTCAGCGCAAACAGCTGTAACCCATTTGAACGTCTCAGTTATTTAATCAATGTTATTCCTTTTTTCAGTAAAGCCTGGTTCACATAAAATCGTTAAGCAGTCGCAGACATGGGCCGAATTTTTATATGAACACAAATCCAGATTCGCGCAGACTGTCTGAGACCGGATCGGTGACGGTCGGGAAAGTTGAACTTGGTTCAACTTTTCCGTCCGTCGCAGATCGTTCATATAAAAATTCGGCACATGTCTGCGACTGTCTGCGACCGCTTAACGATTTTATGTGAACCAGGCTTAACAATTAGAAAGGTTCTGAAAATTAGAATTAATTTATATTCTTCTTTCCGACAAGCTTTAAAGGGTGACAAATTTGCAAGTGATAACTAATGTCATTCTTACACGCCAGCAGCTTCGAAGAACAGTCTACTGTGTCTCGGAAGTTTCCACACTCAGAAGTAGAAAAGGAACATTTCTACATTATTGCTTACCGTCATTCTCATCTGTCAACATAAAATCTACTGTCTGTCGAAATCGTTTAGGTTTACCTAACGTTGCGTGATCACAAGTTGCGGCTGTAGTAGAAGTAGAACAGCATTATTGTAAACACAAAAACCTCGTGCAATACTGTCTAAGACTACTATTTAATTCAATACAAAGAAAGGGAAATCAGAGAGCAACGAAACATTTCATCGTCATTTGATTGACATGTTTACGCTCAGCGAGTACATTTCTTTCGGTTAGGAGTTATCCCCGAGATTAATTCGTACATTCTATAAAACGAAACTTTATATAACAGTTTAAGGTAAACAAACCAATGAAAGTTATGTCTGTAGTATGACTAATTCTGAATTTTCTAATTTCTTTGAGACATTTTATTTACAAGGAGGTAAACAAAGCGAACAGAGCGAAGTTCGTATGTCACAATCAGGACTCATGGCATTGAGGCGCGCAGAATTCGAACACACTGGACACACTGGCATTGAATGACTATCCTTGAAGCCAAACTGTACAGTCAAACAATTTCATTCCAGTGCAAAACCAAAGAATAGTGATGAAAGACATATATTTACATAATCAAGCTTCATTCAGTGTAGTGTAAGGTGGTTTTATTTGTTAATATCAAGAATTATGTTTACCGATAAAGTATGCTCGATTTCGACACATTTTCAAATTTTACAAAGTTTGCGCGCTTGTCATTTTTGTCAAATGGTAGAACAGAAAGATATTATTGGCGATTTGTGTTGACTAATGCTAGTAGTTTATAGAAAAGTTAAAGTCATGTGCCAATCAAGTGCCACGATTTTGAAATAAGCTTTCGAATTTGACATATTTTGAGACGATATCCTTTATCCGTTCAGGAGGGTCAATAACTGCGCGGTTTTCTATTTTATACCAAAGAATAATGAACTAAGTCATATCACCCGCGAAAATAGAAGGATAAGTCTATATTTCTGAGCAAAAATTTTGAAATTTAGGTATGAATTTGATTTTAAAAATAGCGCTGAAAATATGTCGATATTGGCCTTCATTCGGAGTATCAAGTTGGTTACCAGTCGATCGAACATCAATCGCCCCCCAAAATAATTTAAAGGAAATTTGAGTAAAATGACATCGATTTTAGTTGTTCCCAAGGATAGATCTTCAAAATACTAGAGTATGAAAGAAATCTATTTTTGAGCCCCATACTGACCTGGAGGTTTTTACGGAGACAGCCTCTTAAGTTGCAGTGCACCCTGATGCGTTAATTTTACTCTTTCTGATACCAGACATTTTACTTGTCAAGGGGAGAGTGCTGCCACTCAATGGGTTAATCAGACTATTTTCAAAGCATCCTGGCTGTTATGCCGAATTTGCTGCTGATATGGAAATATTGTGTCATATGGAAACCAGGCTTACAGTACTGCCAAGAAATAACTTGTTCCCGCGTCTACCCGCGTCCTGCCTCCAGAGCGCCCGCGTCTTGCGTCCACTCTGCCCGCGTCCTGCCTCCAGAGCGCCCGCGTCCGGCCTCCACGACGCCCGCGTCTTGCGTCTGCTCTGCCCGCGTCCTGCCTCCAAAGCGCCTGCGTCCGGCCTCTAGTTAAAAACTGCGTCCGCTTGGACGCAGTCGTCGTAACATAATCGGAAAAACGAACTAATATTTGCATCATACTCGTAGTTTGTCGTGAGAATACAGATCAGTGTCACTGATCGGAGAAGCAAAGGATAAAAAGTTGAATGCGAAATCAAGTTTCATTTAACCTAAGCGTTATACACTTAGTATAACCATTTTATAATGTTTTACGTTATACTACAGTAAGCGTAGTGCTTTCACAATGCAATCACACGAGTCGAGATTGAAGCGTATATGACTATATATTGAAGCGTAAAATAGACATAAACAATATATAAATATAATGTAGACACATATACTAAACTCAGTGAGATCACGACTACAACGAGTATATATCTCGCAACACATTCATTTGCTACTCAAATTCTGACTTACCTCGTAGAAGATTGCCGATTAGTTGATATGCAATTCTGTATTTGAATAATGTTATGTCTCCGTAACTCGTCAGTATATTAAAACGAAGATGCTCATTTACAATATATATAGTGCTTTTGATTTTTCATATAAAATACCATTACTACGAGCCACTATATAATTTTATTTACAGCAACAAGTTTGTGTTGTTTTTCCAAAGCAGTAAATGCACATGGTGATATGTCATATAAATTGATAATTACCATATAATTTCTGGATAAATGACTTCTCTTAA